CAGTGGCTGGCGTGGGCAAGCTTAGCAGTGCCAACAGCAGTTGCAAATATTTGTGATGATGCACAGAGGGAGGAAAAACATGTAGATACTATAACTTAAATTGTTTTCTGCGCCATCCTACTGCCGGAAAGGCCTGGCTATGTTCAGGTTCAGCTGCAAGTGATGCTTCTATGTGTTCTGAAAACTAACGCCTTCCTAGCCAGGACCATAGTCTTTTTGAAGATGTTCTGGTTTTCCTATGCTATACAGCACTGTGTCTGTCTTTGGAAAAATACACATATCTATTTGAAGTACTGTGGAGATCCTCTAATCGTTATTTTTGTATTAATTGTTAGTGGTATTGACTACAGGTGGAAAAGTTTTGCATATCTCAGCCAGAGCTGTAGAGTCTTTTTCTGAAGAAATTTGGGTCATGAAGAAGGAAAAGGGGGGAGAGCTAGAGCAAATAAAAACCCTGGGTAGAGATTCCCTATTCAAAGGTTAGATTGCTTAGGTCATTTTCAAAAGAAATGAGTTATTTACAAAGTCCTGCAGAAAATACTCTCCAACTATCACCTGAGTTTAATAATGTATCCTCTGTTCTGGCCCTTTCTTTGGGGAATGATAAACCCAGTGTATGGTTCATACTGGAAAACTCAAAATAGGGCAGGCCAAGACTGACAGTCTTCTGATCCTCTGTTCATCTTTAAAGAGGTTTTTAGTACAGAAGTCACTGTACGGATGCTTTTAATGCCTCAAGTAAAATATATTTTCTCTATTGAGCCAAAGTGGTGAATTAATTGTGTTTTTTTCTATTACATACAGGCTCTCTTCAGAAAGAAGTGCTCTGATTTTCACAAAAAAAGTGATACTCTATAAAAGGAGTAATTGTTTTGCTGTTCTGTTGTGCTCTCTATTTGCAACAAATACATTTTGGGATTAAGAGGCATAATTCCCTTACTGCAATGAGATGTACGTGTTTTCTGTCCCGTGGAGGGAAGGGAGGAGTTTTGAACTCTCAGCAAGATGAAGATAGATTCTATTCCCAGCTTATTTGAAAGGGGAGCAAGAGTCTAGTTAGAAAATATTTCATGTTTTATTCATAAAATGGTTCTACTTGACCTTTTTGTGCTGCATAGTTTCGGAAGAATTCTGCCTTCCTTTTTGTAGCAGACCTGCTCATTATTGTTTCCTGCACTTAACGAAAAAAGAAGTCTATTAATTACCACTTACATTAGGCACATCAAGATTTTGTCCAGGTTGATGTGATCTTGATAGTCCTTTTAAAAAGGACTTTACATTGACATTGACTTTACAGTGAATGAATTACTGTTCAGGTTCATATCTTTCTTGAATCACACTAAAAGAAATTTCAACTGGCAGTTCTCCCAGAAAATAATTTTTAAGAATCCAATTACAACCTTTTCTTTTGACTCTTCTGTTTATCCTCACCTTCTAAGGTATCTACTTTATATTTGCAATGTCCCTGAAGGTTTATATATTATGAGTTTATGACCAGTGCTTCCATCACCTCCCTTCAGTTATTTTCTGAACAATTAGTTCCCCCAAGTGGCTGCCTCACTGAAGCCTTGCTTTGCAAATCTCAAAGGATCATGTCCTTTATGGAGCAGAATGACTGGGAAAATCTGACAAAGATAAACCACTGCATTTGCAGTGATACCAGAATAATTTCCATTCTACTCAGCTGAGTCCTTTTGGGGCAGCATGGTGTGTAGACAGTGCCCACCTGAAGTTTGGCATGGTTGGTAGCTGAAACTAGTAGAAGCATATAGAAGCTGAAACACAGTCTTTGATGATGTATCTAACAGTCTCTCTGACAGAAGTTCCATGCTTAAAAAGAAAAGAAACAGTGTTTTCATCATTGGTAGTGATTTGTGTGGTTGCAGAGGCCAAGCACCATCTTGAGCCCATAGATTTATCTGTATAAACCTTATTCCTAAGTACTCTTATTGCCATAGTGAGAAAAATCTGTGTGATTTCTTCAGCTGTAAAGGTGGGAAAAGTTATAAATAATTACAGATGCTTTATGTCTATATCTCTTCATGTCAGTTTTCATTTCTTGATAGGAAAATATTTTGAACTGCTTAAAACCTGTTAATTATGTTAACCTTAATATGAAATGAGTAGCTTATAACTTGAAAGACTGTGCCTTCAAAAAATGGAAAGCTTTTAACGTTCACAAACACTGTGTGAGAGGTGTTAAGAGAACATGTGGATCTGCTAATAAATGCATTTCAAATTCATTTCAAAAGAGTGTTTAAAAATCTCTTGTGTATGTGTTCTGACTTTTAAGAAAGACTTCCAAGACTTTCCTCCTTTATACAGTAGCACAGAATTGGCTTTTTTTTTGAAGGAGGCTGTGTTAAGCCTTGCATTGCCCACATTTTATATGCGATGTCACTTTTGAATATTGATTTACCCACATGTGGCTAATACTGTTGATACTACAACTCAAAACGGTTACCTTAAAGCTGCTTGCCACTTGTTATTCCCTATAGAAATAGGATTTTGTACATATTGTTGAAGTTACTTGTGTTGGGACAGTACAGAGATATATTTCTCATATATCTATGAGAAATCAAAAATGATGTCTTAGATTATTATTGTTGCTAATGCTGATAATACAGTATCCAGATGCCTTGATTTCTTGATGTGTTAACTTTTGTTTAACAGATCTGCTTTTGCGTTGGTATTGTTTTATGTTACACTTTTCTCTGAGGACAGAGATACTGGAGCCAGGATGCTGGCAAGATTGTGTTCACAGAAAGAAGCCTTGATTGCAGAAAGAAACCTTAAATAGAATCGTAGATGGTTTGGGTTGAAGTAGACCTTTAAAGGTCATCTAGTCCCAATGAGCAGGAACATCTTCCTCTAGACGAGGTTGCTCAGAGCCCCGTCCAACCTGACCTTCAGTGTCTCCAGGGATGGGGCGTCCACTACCTCTCTGGGCAGCTTGTGTTTCACCACTCTCATCGTGAAAAATGAGTTCCTTATATCCAGTCTAAATCCACCCTCTTTTAGTTTAAAACCATTACCCCTTGTCCTATCACTACAGGCCCTGCTAAAAAGTTTGTCCCAATCTTTCTTATAACTGAAATCTTGCTTAACCTGAGCTTCTGGTGAACATCCTGCATGGAAGATCATAGAATCATAGAATGGTTTGGGTTGGAAGGAACCCTTAAAGGTCACTGAGTCCAACCCCCTTGCAATGAGCGGGGACATTAACCTTTATCCCTTGTCCTATTGTTACAGGCCCCATCACCTCCCTCGACCTGCTGGCCACGCTTCTTTTGGTGCAGCCCAGGATGCAGCTGGCATTCTGGGCTGCGAGTGCACATTGCCAGGTCATGTCCAGCTTTTCATCCACCAGTACCCCCAGGTCCTTCTCAGCAGGGCTGCTCTCAATCTCTTCATACTCCAGTCTTATTGATACTGGGGGTTGCCCTGAGCCAGGTGCAGGACTTTGCACCTGGCCTTGTTGAACCTCTTGAGATTCATACAGGTCCACTTCTTGAGCTTGTCCGGGTCCCTCTGATGGCATCCTATCCCTCAGGCATGTCAATCGCACCACTCAGCTTGGTGTCATCGTCAGACTTGCTGAGGGTGCACTTGGTCCTGCTGTCTGTGTCATTGATGAAGATATTAAACAGTACTGGTCCAAATATGGACCTCTGAGGGATTCCACTAGTCACTGTTCTCTATCCGGACATTGAGCCATTGACCACTACTCTCTGGATGTGACCATCCAACCAATTCCAACAGTCCATCTGTCAAATACATATCTATTCTATTTAAAGAGAAGAATGTTGTGGGGGACCGTGCCTAAAGCTTTACAGAAGTCCAGATAGATCACAGCATTGTAATGAAGGAACTCCATGTAAGTGGAGTTACCTAACAGTAGAGGTTATTAATATTTTTTTCTCCATCCCCCCCCCTTTTTTTTTTTACCTAATTTACGGTTGAATACAAATTGGCATGTATCAATATATACTTGATAGTGCAATAAGGATATGTTGAGAAAAAAAAAAAAAGACTGAATTAGGAAACTGAAGAAGTTCCCTAAATATGAACTATGTACTTAAGATCTTGGATTACTGTATGAGTTACCTCTCCACAATGGCTGTTTATGCAAAAAGTAGTTTTAGCTTATTGCTACACTGAAAAATGTCACTAGAAATTTTAAGGTTGAATGCCTGCTTTAGTGGAGTCCTGTTAATGTCAAAAAAACATCTTTACTGTGTAACTTTGTTGTTGTAATGCTCTCTTCTGCGAAAGAGAGTCTTCTGGAGACTGTGTAAGGAATCCAGGAAGTATCCCACTGCTCACAGAATTTCTTTAAATGCACTGTAATTCTAATCCCTGAAGATAATAAACTTGTACAGACTTTAAAGCAAAGAATTCCTTCCTAAATAATGAAATGCATAGTGCACAACTAGCAAATCACATTGATGCTCAAATCAGAATTAATTATATATAGCTTTAAAGAGGTCAAATACTCCCTTTTAGAATTTTATCAAACTATTTTGATCTTTTTTATCCTTGGTGTACCAGCATGCGTTTTCTAAGCATATTTGTACGATCTCTGTCTTAGTATTTGCATGAATGATGTATTGTGATTTTCCAGTCTTGGATTAGAATACTTTATTACATTGTTTATTTTTCTAATATATTTTAAAGGACTCCTGTGTAGACATAATTCTATTACTCTTTAAAAATCAAGTACTAAAGAGGTAAGAAATGCAAGATAGGAGGTCATCCCTTTGTCTTAAATGCTTCTCTTTTCCAAATCCCATGTAATAGTAATGCTTGTTACCCATCGCAAGTCTTTGTTTAATTCCCCTATCCCACCCTGACTTTTTGGCATAGACGCAGGCAGATACCCAAAACAGAACATTCTACCTAAATAGTTATTCTTAGGCAAAGATAGAAAAAACTGCAAATTAATTGTTACAGTGTGTAGCATTGGGCACTCCTGGTTTGTAGGCTTTATTAATTACCAGTCTTACTTCATGTAGATGTGCAGCCTAGTTTTGAACATAGAAGGCTGAATTGTATCATCTAGAATATCTGCAGTTCCACTGATTTATGTGGGATTTTGGAAAGTGTAAATCTGAATAGAATTTACCCCCTGTATTTAAAAGTCTCACTAAAGCTACTGAACCTTCATTTTTCTGAGCTTTTTGTTCTCGTGCTGTTGACTGACTGCCATGACACTGAAGCTGAGCATCCCATCTGTTTACCACGTTAACCAGCTTTACTCAATTACTAAGCTATTACCTTGCATTTGGTGTGTAATATATTAGATTTTAAAACATTTTTTGAAGAGAGAAAAATGGCAAAGAGCAAGAAACGGTAGCTTTCTTAATATGCATTAACTGGAAGTTAATGTTTCATATTGTCCATTTATATTCGCTTTTTCTGGATTTTGTTGGGTTTGGGGGTTGTTGGGCGTTTTTTTTGTCCTGGGATCTATTTATAACTGACTGAAGCACTTTTGCAGGTGGTGGTTTTTTGCATGCTAATCCTGCAGAGAAACATTGTGTCCAACAAAGTATGCTGGGTCAGCAAAAACAAGAAAGTTGTGCTGGAGAGACAGTATCCACAGGTATTTAGTGTGTATGGAGATTTGGCAAAACGAATGATTAACTATCACTGGCAGAAGCAAATCTAGTATTGTCTGTTAGAAAGTTGTGCATTTTTTTATTTTTCATAGAACAGATATTCTTCCTTTCAAAGTCAGTAAAAGACTCAGCAATGTAAACGTGCATTTAATAAAATACTTCATTAATCATTTTCAACTATATTCTGCCTTTCCCTTCAAAACAAGACGATCCTTTTTTCGTGTTATTCACTGTCACTTGTCCAGTCATACGCAAATTAAATACATACCTGCTCAAGTGAGGTGGTCTTACAAGGATTATTTAAAAAATGAACACTGTTACACAGTGGTTTCTGGCATTTTGGTGTTTGTTTTAATGTTCAAAAAAGACAACATTAGTGGAGAAAATGAAATTTCTTCTGATGCTTTCTACAGTTTCTTGAGTTCACTAGTGTTACATGCTGTACATAGAGAACAAAAGGAAGGAGGTGCAAAAAGAAGGCAGAACAGACTGGAATAGACTCGACATGAATAACCTGGGAAGGAGAGGGAACCATGAATGAACAGCAGCCCCATGGAAGACTTTCAGTCCTCTAGAAGAATCTTCCTGGCATGCCTCTATCAGAGACTTTGATCACCATTGATTTTTTTTTATTGGTGTATCACTGTCCAGTCCTATACAATTTTAAGGTTATTTAGAAGGAGTGAAAGCTTATGACATCTTATGAGTTTCAGAGAGATTTGATACTTGCAGGTACTAGCATGGTAACTGTTAATCTTTTAACAGAGACTTTTAATGTAAGTGGATTGAATTGCATTTGATTTGACCTTGTGCTTAGTTATTTAAACATGTCTAGTGCCCCAACTCCATGCCTATTCAAAAGACTGAGAACAGCAGCAGTTAAAAAAGAGCTTCATGTCATTCAGATATTGAATCTAATATATTTATTAATTTCTTTTATTCTTAATGAAAATTTTAGAGAACGTATAAAAATTGTTGCCTTCCAGTGAAGGACCTGTAGACTTGTAGAAAGAATGTTGTCTAAAACCAAGGACCATCCTCAAAAACGCCATTGCAGAGCCTCCCTTAACTGAAAATTCCCCTTCTCAGGTGCAAGACTTCATGGGTTTAAATAGGAATGAAGGGTTTTCCTCAGGTCATGACTGACATGTCAAAATGAGTCCTTTGAATCAGAGACAGAAGTAATTTGGAAGATGGTGTGGAACAGAAGTGAAAGATGCATGTTAAGTTTCCAAGTGGCCTGCTGGTACAGTGACAGCCAGAGCAAATTCAAGTTCTTCAGGGTCAAGATGGCAAAAACATGAATTACTGTAGTGATCACTGTGTGTAAAGAAATAGTTAAAACTGTTTGCCAAGTATAAATGGAAAAAATAGTTTTGGTCACTGATACATGGACACTCTAGGTCAGGTTAGTAGGACCTCCGGTCTGTGAATTGACTGATTGCTTTTTCCTGATCCAAGATGCTACAATAGTCTTCCACCAGTTCTTCCGATTAGCTTTCCCAGTCCACAAGCAAAACCTTAACCGAGGCTGAAGGATCATTAGGCAGCTAGTCTGCATCTAGCCCATCTCTATATTTAGACACTGGCTAAGCTGCTTAACTACAGCAGCTGTGTTGGATGAGAGAGAAAGGCAGAGCTGAATATTCTTTACTTACCAGAGGCACTGCAATGAATGTTTCTGCACGACTGTCTAATGTAAACTTGGCCCCCCCCAAAAAAAAAGTTGTACTGAAGGCTGATACCAAATATGGGGTACCTGGAAGAAGTATTTACCATAAAATTACACTAGTTGGAAAAAGAGCGTTTGTATAAAAATCCCTTCTCAAACAGTTATATCAATGCTTAGCATTGTATTAACTACATAAGAAGAATATTCATCTAAACGGACATTGTTTCAAAGAGCATTTTGTGGTTGATAGTCATGAAGGTCTTGGATTCTAGACCGGTACTTTCTTGTACTGAGGAAATACGTAGGAGAGACTATTTAAATAAAAGTGATTTTACCGCCTAGATTCCCAATGGGCATGTCAGTGTATTTGAGAAGCATATTCTTATTTTTAAAGCTGGTGTAATGCACTATTTCTACAAATATTTCCTCCTAACGTCAAGTTAATCATTCTTTTGTGGTGCTTTGGCTGACATTTTTGCACTTCTGTAGAAGTGGTATGTCCTCAGCAAAATTTCCATATTTTTCTGAACTCACATCATTTGCTACCAGTGGTTGGAGAGTGGGTACCTTATGATGTGGAGCGTGAAATAGCACAGGTTGCAGTCTGCTGAAGTGCTGGCTTTCCTAAAAAGTTTACGCAAATCAGTGAATGAATTTTTGAAATAAAAAGGGAGAAGCGCAAGCCAAATGTGAAGAGAGAATGGAAACTGCTTTGTGTTTAATACTGCGGTAAGATGAATAACTGCTGATTTGGAAAAAAGTCTTTAATGTCAGTATATGGCAAGCAAAATCTGGAAAATAAGAGCAGGCTCTGTCCGCTAAAAGAAAATATACTAGTTTTGTGATCTACTGTACTGACGCTGTACAATTTGACCTGTAACTAACGTTGAAGTTCAGGGCTAGTTTGGTTAATGATTACAATACTTTACATAATTTTATTGTACTTCTCTAGAAGCTCTTAAAAGTGTGTTCTCGAAAGCAGCCACAAGAAGATACCCTGCAGGAAACAAAAAAATAGTCTGAGCATTATTAGCAATCTTAGCAGTTGAAAAAATACAGGTTTCTATACATCTTGTGATTGCAAATTGGCAAAAATGGAAGTTCTTAGTGAGAAATAGTACATACTCCTAGCTTTTGGAGAATAAA